CACCAGCAGGATTTGGCGATTGGACCCCCTAATCTCCAGTCGCTTTTTAAAAGGGGATTTTCTGCCTCCTTTCTGTGTGTCTTCGCGGTGTAACGGTTAGCGCACTCGACGCTTATTCGAAAGGTCCAGGTTCGAATCCCGGCAAGGGCATTACACATTTTTTATGCTAAAAACAATTCCTGTTAAATAAAAATTCCTAATGATCCTCCACCTTTTTTCTGTTGGTATCTCATTTTGACGCTTGTGTGATCTAACATAAGCCCTTAGCTGGCTATTAGAATTTAAATTTAGCGCTCCAGTGTTTTGGATATGACTTATAAATAAAATGAAAGTGCAACAGTGCCCCAGTGCAGCACAGTTTTTATCCACGAGCAGACTTGCAGTAGATATATCAGACAGCAGCTGCGTGTTAAATAACAAATATGCAGATAATATTTCTATATAGTTTTATTTACATGTTATTAGGGATTTAAAAATATTCGACAAAGCAACATAAAATTTTCGCTGTAGATTAAGCCTTTGCTTTGTATGAAATCATTAAAATTACTAATATGCATTTTAGATCAAATATCTTACACGGAGAAAATGTGCAGTCACTAATTTAATGAGCTCAGTTTAGAACTTCTTAATCTGAGATATTGTAAATAATTGAGCTAGAAAATTTTATCTCAGACTTCGTATTTCGGATTTGTCTTTTATGTAACACTTTTAACAGTATTATTAATTCTGAATTATGTTTTCAACCCTGATGTTTGTTACGAGTTAGAGATCTTGTTTAGATTGAATTTTCTGGGAAGCGAATAGAATTTTATCTCTTCGATTGCGAATTGGTGAAACTGTATTTCGTCTTTTAATTTAACTGTTTCTCTAACTCATTTATAAAGATTTTAAAAACAACTTCATTATTATTTGAAATTTTATATTATTCTTGCATTTCATTAAATCTAAGAGGAATTCGGTTCAGTAGGATATTTACTTCTTAACAATTAATGTTATTTCATTCTATGGTTTTGTGGATTTGGAATAACAACAACACTTGAAGAATAAAATACACAATTTATTTGTCGGTACTACAGAAGACAATGTCAAAGACGCGTTACAGTCGTAAAAAATCTATGATAAGCACGCTGAAACAATCAGCAACACAGCCTTCAGACAGGCTATCAGGCTATATCGTTGAAGACAGCTTCACGGCAAAACACTAAATGCAGCTCCCGACTCTGTCGATCGCTCTCGGAGCTCAACACACTCAAGATATTTTCCATAATAAAACTCACGATACACTGCTACTCCGTGTACAGGTAGGTTTTATATAGCTTTTTGACCTGTCTTCTAGAACATTCTGGGAAAAACCGGTAAAAATTCGTTCTAGAATGTTCTCCCTCTGGCTATGGCACATCGCCGATGTTCTGCCTAAACGGCAACCCTGCCTTTTCTTTCCATTTCTGCTAACCCTAAACCCGCTTTGCGGGGAAGCTATCTTACCGCGGCTGGGAATTTCGCTAACACTATGTTTTCGTCTTTGATCGTAATGGAAACTTGAAAACATTTTTATTAGTCCAAAGGGGTTTTGTCCCTGAGGGACTATTTTTTTCATATTGCGTCGAATCACTCTGAAAGTCCGTTTCACTTTTTAAACTGTTGCCACCCAATATCATCGGCCTGTATTATATTTGAAAAAATTAAATAATGAGGAATCTGCATAAGTGTATCTATATTTCTCGCATTGTGATAAAAGGTACCTAGAGCCATCCAGTTTTGAATTACGTAATCTTCCAACAAATATGGGCTTCTGGAAGTCCATATTTGAAATTTAGAACTTGTTTTATTATCAATTTCATATTGTCACATTTTTTCCCCTGACACGAGTTGTTACGTTATTTTCTTCACTGGTTCGTGCAGATTTGGAGTGATTAATGACAATACTACTTGATGAAGTATTGAAACACACTTTATATACCAATATTTATCCGGATAACTGCAAAACGCATTTACAGTCGTCGAAGATCTACTATAAACACGCTGTAGCAATCAGCGACACAGCCTTCACACTGTCAGGCAATAACGGTGAAGACAAGCTTCACTGCAAAGCATCAGAGTACAGCTCCCGACTCTGCTCGCTCGTTCTCGGAATTCTACGTACTCTCGAGACTTTCCACGCTACAACTCGCGATGCACTCGACGACACACAGAGCACGGCTCCCGACTCTTCGGTTCAGTTGTTCCCGGAGCTCAACACGCTCTCTCGACGATGCACTAACCGCGATACACTAAGAGACTCCTTCGGTGAACTCGACGACCCACTCGGCACTCGCTGCCTGGCTGTCAACTCGATCGACTCGGCACGGACTGACTAACTCGATACTAACTATCTCGCACTCTAGACGAGGAACTCTGACTCGCCTCTTGACGAGGCACTCTCACTGACTGCGGACCAGCAGGGTTTATATAGCTTTCGGCTTGTGTCGAGAACATTCTGTGCTAAACCGGTAAGAATTCGTTCCAGAAGGTTTTCCAACCGTTCATGGTATATCACCAAATGGAGCAATCCTGCCTTCTCTTGCCATTTTATGGCAAACCTAAAACTGCTTTGCGGGGAACCCATCTTACCGCGCCTGTATCTAACAATATTTTGTTACAATATTTTGTTTCGTAACAGTATTTTGTAAAACTTAAATGAATTTTTGATTAACAAACTTCAACGATCTTCTAAGCGAAGCAGTAGGCAACGCATTGTACAGAAATAAAGCATTTTTATCTCCAGCGCGCGAGACTGTGTATCGAAAATTCTAAATATACGCTCAAGTTAAAATTATTTTGCGATATTGCTCTTGAACTGAGTTTTATGGTTTAAGTGCGAAGAACATGATATTTAATAAATAAAGGCAACACACAACATGTTAAAAAAACGCCTCTTCGGATGTAATTTAAAATCTTAAACCATTCAGATTTTTTATTGTTTATTTTAATTTAGTTTTGTTTATTTTTTTATTATTATTATTGTTATTATTAGTTTCAGTATTTACTTATTTATCATGTGACAAATGGACAAGCAAATATGTATAATACTTATTAGTTTCAATAGTTACTTATATATCATGTGACGTATGGTCAAGCAAATATGTATAATACAAATTTAGGGGGTTTTATGTACATAATGAAGCAGACTGTAAGGCTGGTGGATTTTTCAATAACAAATAATTTTAGAATTTTACTCGTGTTGATTTAAATGTAATATATGGAATAATAAACATAATTTAGTAACTGAAAGCATTAGATGAGCGCAGTCCCTGTTTCAACATTTCAAGTTATCCTTCGCATATTCACAGCATTATATATGAGCATAGTAAACAAAAGAGAGTTTATGGATGACATGTTAGTAAAGAGAAAGTAAGCGTAGGACCAGAAAGATGAGGTTACTGATGTTAGATTAAGAATGGTTAAGTAGTTTAATTTCTCAACAAAGAATAAAATATCGCCTGGTTAGAAGTGATTAAGAACGTTACGGTTTAGATATTACTGTATAAATTACTTTACTTTCACTTACGTCGATACATGAGAAATTGAATTACCTGCATAGATTGTGAGTCGTATAATATTTGATTAATTTTGGAATGCCGTACTTCAGAGGGATTTATTTTACAGATTTTAATGTTTCCAGTACAGAAAGAGGAAATAACGAAATTATAAAAGTTACAAACTAAAGTTGAAATTTTGTATTATACAAATGTATGTGCATGTGTGTGTAAATTCGTATAATTAAAAGAAATATCCTTAATAAAGAATAAAGTCCAAATTACGAGTATATCTATTCATTCAATATAAAATTTTAGCAATTTCTTGAGGGGGAAAATTGTTTTGGAATTCTCCAGTTTTCTTTGCTAGAAGAAATTAGAATTATTAGTATTAATAGCAAATATGTACAATGCGAAAAAAAGGGCCAGTTCTATATTTCCCGTTCTAGTGGGTCGATTGACGAAATCCGAATCGCGTTTTTCATGTCTCGAAAAAGCGACTTAGGATATGTATTAGATTTATATATAGCATTGTTCGAATATAGGCATTTTGACACAAAATCGGACTTTTTCTGAAATGACATACCATTTTTTTTTTCGTATTTCGATCCTAAGACTCTAATTATGCCTAGATATTAAATTTTGTAATTTTTGGTGAAAAATTAATAAAGAAATTTAAAACTTTATCTTGGCGAATTTTTTCAGTTTGCGCCAAGAATGATTCACTTGGCGAACTTCTTAATTTGGAGCAACCTACTTTCCTTTCCTTTTTTTCACTGCCACAAGCAGAAAAAACGCTCATCGTTCATATTTTCAACTAATTTTGACAGAGTGCGTAAACCACATTTTGGTTATTATCGCTTATAATAAATACGCCAAGTTTCAAAACGCGCCAAATTATACAGGAACGCGCCTAAATTACAGGATTTTCACAAAGGGGGACGTTGAAAAATTTTTAACTTGTAAATAATTATTAATTTCAATAGTAAATTCACGTATATCGATTTTTCGATAAACAAAAATTCAAAAAAGTGTAAAGGTATTATTAAAAGTACTTTTAACAGCATTAAAATACAACTTTTTTTTACCTTATTATTTGAATTAATTTTAAAATTCACTATTTTTCTAATCTAGAGTTAGAACGATGCATGTTGTAAAAAATGGCAACTATAAACGTTTTTCAGTTAAAAACATTTATTTAAATAACTGATTATGATACCAATCTAGTTTGAAATAATGCAAAATATTTCAGAATTTGACATTAATAATTTAAGTGTTGGTATATAAGTACTTTAAGTACTTTCAGTTGGTAATTAAGCATATTTTATGAATAGTAGATTTGGGTTTAAAAATTAATGGAGTTACAAAATATTCAGCAATATAATGTTGGCTACATATATTAATAATGATACTTCAAACACAGCATGAAACAGACATTGTAGATTCATTGAACTAGTTTTGCAGTTTTTATAATCAAGACCTTACCTGAAATCACGCTTTCCAGACATACGTAATCTCTATGGCCTATAGCAGTACAAGACAAAAGCGACTCCAAAAGACCAGTTACTTCGGATAAATACTGTTCGGAGGAATGAATATGAAATGTCAATAATTCAATAATAGTATTGAAATTAATATGATAACTTTAAAACTCAATATATTTTATACATTCATAGTCCAATAGTTTAGATAAATAAATAAAATTAGAATTTTTAAATGCAATAACTTACATGAAGAGGTTTCTCTATGAACTTCGAGAGACTGATCTTGTCTTCCGATGCTTCTGGACCCTAGAATTTACATAAATATATTTATGAGATCTCATAAAACATGAAACATCCGTGGCAACATGATGTACGTATCAATAAATATAAATAAAGAAAATATTATCATGTAAACTAGGAGTTTCAAAAGACGTACATTAATGTAAAACTTTTAAGAAATTTAACTATTTACCTTAATTGGTAATGAGCTTCAAAGCTATCAATAACACATCAAATATGTATTTTTAACAAATAAAAATAACCGAAATATTATCATGTAAACTCGAAGTTTCAAAAGACGTACACTGGTGTAAAACTTTCAAGAAATTTAGCCGTTTGCTTTAACCTCTTCGTCGTCCGTAACGCGTCCAGCGCATTCAAATGAAACTTCCGCAGGGCGGCCGTAACACGCCTCAAGCGTTCTTCTACATTTTTAAAACTTTTAAACGTTTAAAACGCTTTCTAAATGTTTACTTGTTTGCGTTTTTATTTTTGTTTGTTCTGATACCTCCTAGAAGTTAGAAGTAATCAGACATTCTATTTCTAATTGAATTTGTTCCGGGTTTTATGAAAATTCGCGCCATTTTTCATAAGACAGTGAGAAATGGCTTCAACGTCTACTCAGCAGAAAAAGAGAAAAAATGAGGCTGTGAATTGGAAAGATAAGAAGGAAATACGTTTGATGAGTACAGTCCATAATAACTCGATGATTGATGTTAGAATACGGAAAAGAACTGTAAAAAAAAAAAAAAAAAAAAAAAAAAAAAAAAACAATAATTGTAAAAGATTACAACGAGAGGAGTGGACGGCCTGGATCAGATGTTATCAAATTATCCTGCTGTTAGAAATAAGAAGAGATATTATTACTTTTCCATTATGCTTTATTTCCTTATAATTTTACTTAAAATTCACTGACATTCATCTACTACGAAAGTCATGTATGGAAAGTTATCATGTACAGAGAAAACAACATTACATGTTACGAAAAACAGACGGCCGCTGGGGGAAATTTTCGCGGACAGGAGAGGACGGCGAAAGGGTTAATTGGTAATAAGCCCAAAAGCTATATCAGTAATACAACAAATGTGTATTCCTATTACTAATTTAAAATATTTGCAACATTTAAGAGGAGAATAACAGCAGGAATAATTAGCATTTAATAAAAACTGATAATTTAAATATTTTAGTCAATAATAAAATGAAAACCTGATAAAGAACTAATTTAATTCTATGACCATTTTTATAATTTGATTTTAAACGATACTTCAAACTAATGAAAGCTTTGAATAGCTAAGTATTTTTTTTTTATTTTACAGAAATCTGAGATTAAGTATTTTTCAACCAGCCTACGTTCTCGATTTAGAACAGCGAACTCTTTATGCTGATGAGCATTTGATATTTTGTTTGTCATTTTTGTTATCTTAATGTATTCAGACATAAAAGCTGAAGAAAAGTTCCCGTTTTTCCAGCTAATTACTTTGTTAAGTAAGTTCCCATATTTTTGAAAACTTTAGTTTTCTCAGACACTGGAGATGAATAATTTTAATGCATTAGAAATACGTAGTACGTAATATACAACTGAAAGCCAACATTAAAGTCTAAATTTCAAGAACGAAATTTAATGGAGAATGGTAACGATGAATATAATAAGAGATACAAAAAATAATATCCTATTTCCATGCATTTGTTTCGTACTTTTTTGAGATAATTTCAGGATTTTAAAACTCATATTAAAAAATTTCACGCTTAGGTTCCGAACAGTTCCGAAATTTATCTCAATTAGGACCATGTAAATAGTTTATTTTGCTTGGTGTGAGCATTCTAAAAAGAAAACTGTATTTAGAGACTGATTATAAGCACTGACGCAAGAATGGAACCAAAAAAAATATGAAAGCTTTTAGATTTTATATTAAGCCCAAAGGGGCTTTTTTAGCGTTTTGTGTGTTACCTTTATTTATTAAATATCATGTTCTTCGCACTTAAACCATAAAATTCAATTCAACAGCAAATATCGCAAAATAATTTAAAAAGAACATATCTTTAGAATTCCTGATACACAATCTAGCAACGCTAGAGATAATTTTTTTTATTTTTCCCCCCGTAAAGTGTTGCTATTGCTCGCTTTGAAATAGTCGAATTTCTTAATCAAAAACTCATAAATGCTTTACAAAATATGAAATAGAGAATAAAACAAGCTCAAAATTTGGGCTTCCAGATGCCTCTACTCGGGTGCAGACATACGTTATTCATAATGCGATGGCTGTAGGTACCGTTGTGTTTTATCACAATGCGAGAAACATACATACATTTATGCAGATTCTTCATTGTTTAATTTCTTTAAATGTAATGTGAAGCGATAATTTTTGGTGGCAACAATTTGGAAAGTGAAACGCCACAAACTGGCAAAACGAAATTAATATCCCTTCTGGGCTAACACGTTTTGGGCTAATAACCATTAAATTGTATAACGTTTTCTCTATTAAATCCAAATAATAATATAATTTCAAATTTATTTACCCAGATGTAGCAATTTTTCCGCTACGAACGGATAAAATCCCTCAACACTAGTCGTTCAGCTCAAGCTCAAATCCCAGCATATCAGTTCGCTGCATAAAATCTTAGCTGCTTTTGCCATATGCAGAGTGTTGGCAGTCTTTAAAACCTGTAGTCTTCTTTGAAATATCATCCATGAAGGCATCCCTCGCTTCATACATACCCCCACTGTGCTCCATTCAATCCTTTCTCGAGATCATTTATGCATAGGGTCGACTTTATAAGCACGTTCTCACATACAATCACAATTTAATTCATGGCGTTCGAAATTCCAGTTTTTCTATTATTGTACAAAATTATTTTCTATAAAACTAATTACTTCGACTTAATGATCAAAGAAATGACTAAATGGCACAAATCTGTCTCAAAGTCTGCAGCTATATTTTACCTTCAGATGTTAAACTGTGATTCCTGTAACTATTCATATATATATTTATATAAACCTTTGTATTTCATTCCTGATAGGTTTTATTCTTTACGTCGTTCATGTAGTTCCATGACTGAAGGTAAAACTATAAGAATCGCAAATATATACTTTCTTCATATTAAATCTTCCTCTTTTTGCTCATTAGCTGACTCAAAGTGATGTAAAGTCGCTGAACACTGGTAGTTCGGTCCGAGGTTCGAATCCCGCGAATGGGCTGGCTGCATGGGCGTTTTCGTGGTTTCCCCCATGTGTAACGTGTATACTAGCCAGTTTCCCTTAGAACGTTCTCCACGAAGGCATCCCTCCCCTTTGACAGATAGCCCTAGTGTGTTTTGCCATAATTAAATAAACCAAACCAAACCAAACCACGTTATGTTATGTGTTATGGTGTTTTATTTGCAAACCTATTCGGGTATTATTTTCTCCCTCGCCTACATACATACAATTTTGCCTTCCATTTAGTCAGTCAAACACTGAAGCCTTTAAACACTCACAAAGAACTATGAAACATCATAAACATATTATTTTTTGTGTCTTAAAATTATTTGCAATATAAATATATATGGCACAACACTTACTTTCAAATAAAGAATAATTAATTCTAATTTTCTTCATTACTAATTTAAAATTAAATAAATTAATTTCCCCTTTTTATAAAAAAACGTTATAAGGTATTTTCTCTCTCCTTTCAAGCATGTCCATGTTTTGTGGTGTAACAATTAGCCCACTCGGCACGTATTCAAGAGGTCCAGGTTTGAGTCCTGGCTAGGGCATCGCTCATTTCTTACCATTCCTGCTTTAATAATTGCTGCATAAGTAATGAGTCCAAAGTTAAGTATTTTAAGAAGCTGCCAATGTCGGTATTGTCAACAGTGGCATTTGAGGATTCTGCCATCAGTCTGGATTAAATTTTGTGTTACATCTTAAATTATCCAATTTTGTGGAAGTCTACAACTACGTTGTGATAATCAGGACTCCCACTGTTCATTTACTGTATTCATTTGTACAGTATCCGTACTGAAATGTATAAATTTAAATTACATTCAAAAGAACTATGATATTTTTCATTCCATAAATGATTTTTTTCAGTTGAACTAAGACTTGGAAAGAGACACAATAAACTGATTGCATCAAATTGCTATAAAAGCAGGTAAGTAGGTTTTTCTTGTACTTATTCTTAATTCAAGTTTTGAGAAGAACAGTTGAATTTTATTTTTTCAAGAGTAAATAGAGTAACAAAAGCACATATTCGGTAAATTTTGCTTTATGTAGTGAAAGAACAATTATTAATAATAATATTAATACGGTATATCAGTATCGAAAAGTATATGCAAGCCAGTGTCAATCGCAGTTCCAGAAATTCCCAACCTGACACTACAACCTAAAAAACGAGCCTCCTCTTGTAAAGTCTGTAGACTCGACGCGGACGTCCTGTAAACCCTGGTGAAACAAAATCTCTTTGTAACAATTAAGAATGTACAGGATGAAGGAGAGTATTTTTCAGGTTAAAAAAGAACATTCTTTAGCTTAGTTTTGAAACTTGAATGAAGTATATAAGCCATACCATTTATGGCACGATTCAATAATTTAGCCGCACTATTTATTAACTTTTTTTTCTTTACGGGTAAGTTTGATAGCAAACGACAAGTTTAAAGATTAAAAAAGAACTTCCTTTTTCTTAATTTTGAAACCCGAAAGAAGTATATAAGCCGCACTATTTATGGGATGATTCAATAATTTTTAATTTTGCTTTACGGGAAAGTTTGAATACAAACGACAATTTTAATGAATAAAAAATATAACTTCCATTATCTTAATTTTGAAAACTGAAGGTATATTAGCCGCACTATTTATAGGATGATTCAGTAGTTTTTAATTTATTTTCTGTACGGGAATGTTTGATAGCAAACGACAATTTTAATGATTAAAAAAGAACTCTCATTATTTAACTTTGAAAACTGAAAGAAGTATATATGAGCCGCACTATTTATGGGATGATTCAATAGTTTTTAATTTATTTTCTGTACGGGAAATTTTGATAGCAAAC